AAAAAAAAAAAAAAAAAAAAAAAAAGAAACAGAAGAACTAAAGAACCAAATGAACCAAAAAAAAAAAAAAATTATAATACCTAGATCAAAATAGGATTTAGATAATAATGATTAGTATCCATTATATTTTATGTAACAAAATATGATGTGGCATTAAAATACAGATCTATTATCTAAATCCGACCAACTCAATAAGAATTAACCCACTTGACAACTGGTCTCTTATGAGTTCTAATTTAAATTATATACACATACTACCTATAAGATACTACCTTCCATACCATTAATCTACCTGAGCTAAACAAGGTTGTGATTTCTTAAGAGCATCGGCCGTTGTTTCATCATTGTTTTTCAAGGTTTCCAGAAGCTCATCGAAGGCATTACTTAGTTTTCCGTCCATGGAAGGAACAGCCTTCAATGAGCTCAGAAACTCTTTCAGCTCCTCATATCTTCCATTTTCAGATAGCCATCGCAGTATGCTTGATAAGACGCTAGGTTTGGGCCTCCACCCTTTGTTTTGCTCTTGTACAGCTACAGCTTCCTTCATGCACTTGAAAGCTCTCTCCGGGTTCTGCTTCTCCAAGTACCCTGCTGCAATAATGCCCCAACTATTGGGTGGTGGAATCCTCCCATCACTGATGATGTTTTGAAGCATCTTTTCTGCTCTTTCAATTAGCCCCCTTTGCGAGTATCCAATGAGAAGAACATTCGGAACTCGAAAATCATAACACTCGCAAGATGACTCCCATTCCTCAACCAATTTCTCAGCTTCCTCAAGAAACTCAAGCTTAACCAAACAACCCAACATGGTTATATAATCCCTATTGACTTGCTTCTTGCACTTCTTTTGGAGAGCCCACAGTCTCATTACTTCGTCTTTACGTCCCAGACTGGTGTAAAGTGAAATGAGGTGATTGAAGCCGAGAGCATCTTGGTTGACCTTGTCCTCGCATTTCCGAAGGTAACTCATTGCTTGCTCGTGCATACCAGCCTTTATGAAAAAATTGGCAACCATTGAATAAGTAGTCCAGTCCATAGATATGTGAGTTTGACTCTCCATTTCTTTCAAAACCTTCAGCATACCGATTAGATCAGACCTAGCTCCATAAGAGCTGATGCAAATTCTATAGCTATAATTGTCAGGAAGAACACCATTATCCTTCATTTCAGAAAGTACATTCGGAACTTTATCGACCTGGCCAGTGTTCAAATATAGACACATTATATCATTGTAGCAGAGGGGAGAGGAAGCAAAACCCATCTCTTTCATCTTCTGCATATGGGAAAGGGCCTTATCTACAAGCCCTTCCCTGACATAACAATTTAGAAGAGCACCATAGAGTTTACCAATTTCCTCTTGGTTAGAAACACTGCTGAAATACTTCTCTGCAGAATCGATCCCCCGAACTCGGCCGATCAGATCAAGCTGTACAGCGAAGTCTCTAGTTGTAAAGGAGAAAAGTCCCTTGCTACGCATCCATTCAGACACCTTCAATTTGAATAATCCAAAAGAAGAACAAATGATCGAATATCCAGAAATCTTATAGATATTTCAAAAATAAGATCTAGGATTGATGAAAAACCAAATGGGAAGAGAACAATTTAGGAAATCAACCTTGTGCTAAATAACATGAAACTTTTCATCCTCTAGTGAAACTGCAACTAATGCATTGCAACTGCTAGAATCATGTTGAAAAACCACAATTAACTTGACTACATGTGATTACTTCAGAATTCAAAACGCAAACTTCCAGTTTGTTGCCTTCGTCCACAATATTTTCATCAATAAATCGATTTGAAAATCCTCTCTCACCATCATTCATTCAATAAAAACACACGAATTTTACTCCATCCAACAGACATCATGTACAATACAAACATTCCTTTAACGGGAAATGGCAAAGGATCAAGTAAAAATTAGAGTGTGTTATTCAATTGCGCTCACCTGAAGGGCTTGGCCATACCGCCGGCAATTACGAAGGTCGCGAACGATTCTCCGCATCTCAAAGTCCTTGATCATCCTGCCTTCCTGAATCCACTGATCAAGAATCGGAACTACACTAAGCTCAGGAGAACCGAGAGGACTGATCCTGGCGAAGAGGTTTCTTCGGTTGCAGGTTCGTCTCGCGCTGTATAATCTCAACGCTACAAAACAGAATGCATCTGTCTCCGTTCTTGCCGTTCTCGTGAAACCTGAAGAAAAGCTCCTCAAGATTTTGAACATTGCCAATGCCGCCGCCAAGGCCGGAGCTCCGGAAACCTCCAATTTCAGGAAAAAAGAAAAAAAGATCGAGTTTCGACAGTTTTGAGCGCCACCTCCAGCGTTTGAAATCGAATAAATAGTTTCTAGGGTTGTAATCGTATCGTCTCTATAAACATCTTTCATTTATTTCTCACTTCATGTCTCAAGCATTTCCAGTTAAATTTTTTAAAATTATTATTAAATAATTCATCTCCAACTAATTTAAAAAATATATATTTTTCTTAAGTTCTAGTGCTTTCCTCCTAAAAAAAATCCTATGGATTATAAATTCATAATCATTTTCTCCTAAATTAGTGGACGTGAGACTTTCGTCATCCAACAATATTATTTAAATTTATAACCAGTAGATTTTGCTTTTCACCAAAATTCTTTCAAATCTATTTACATCAATATTGTGTAATTTAAAAAAACATAATTAAAAATTGAATTAGATGAGCAAAATTTAAGATAAATAATAATTATTTATTTAATATATATCACTTTCGGTATTAAAATTATTTGAAGTATAAAAGATTTGAATAATTTAACATATTGTTTCCTTAATATATTATATTCTTTGGTTAATTGATGCTTGCGACTAAATTTCAAAATTATTTATAAGATGTGTCATAACATGTCTAATTTGAACATTACATCAAAGAAATATTAAATGATAGGTCCAAATAATACATAAATTGATAGGAAACTAAGGGGGAAGAATTATAAATTCAATATAATTATTGTTTTATATCATTATATTATAATGATATAAAATTCACCGACTATAATTTCAAGAAGAAAATAAACTTGAAATCAATTTTAATAAAAACAAGTAAAAAAGAATGAATGATCAAACATGAAGGTTCGAGCCCTAAGAAAACTGAACCATGGAAGAAAACGTTTGTCCAAACCTCCAAGAGGAAGGAACCACATTGACAAAATCCAATGTCCTCCCATCTATTAGAGTAACCTTAAACGACATTATTTGGTTTCGAAGGTCGACGTTGGCTTGCCAGTTTGCGCCCCAATTACGATGCATGAGCATCCACGTCCTCGTCCTCGACCCCTTAACCCATGCAGCCTTTATGTCGCCGCTGCCACCGACGTTCGATATCATTACCATATTGAAGTTTGATTGTCCTCTCAATGTGAATCGAACTCCTCCCTTCCTTCTACAACTTACCCTTTAAAAATACAACATTTAAAAGCATATATTAAAAAAAAATTGAACGTTTTATTTAAATTTCTACCAACTTACTAAATATTGTATCACGTTGTACCTCTTGTAAAGGACAGGGACGATCCCTTCGTTGCCTTGCCGAGCAATGGTAAGAAAGGCAGGTGACGACATGTCGAAGTGCGCGCGAGGGGGGTCGCACCAGCCCCCGTTGTTATTGGAGGGGCAGAAGTTCGTGGCGGTGATTGCGACGGCGCGGCGGCGGAGGCACCACTTGGGGTCCACGTTGTAGTTGCAAATTACTAGGAAGCAAGCGCCGCAAGCCTCTCCTCCTCTGAAAAGTGCGCCGCTCACCGCCGCCGTGTTTATTCCAAATCCGGCATGAAATGTATTGTCGTAACCACATGCTCCTCCTGATTAATAAATAATCACATAACTTTATTACAATATTAATATATTATTTTCTTTTATATATATATATATATATATCAAGAAAATGATTAAATGGCATAATGTTCAAATAGTAAAGTTGATTGCCAGATATGTATGATTAATAAATTGTGCATTTTCTTAAATTATTGGAAACATGTGTACTAACAATTTCCTTAATTTTAAAGTACCTTTCAGAAATATTTTTAAAAGTTAATTTATATTTAAGAATTAAAAAAAGGACACATTTTAAGAAAAATAACTAGTTTTCAAATTTTTTTTTTTTAATCTCAT